AACTGATATTACTGTTGTCATTCAAGAGAAAATAGCAATTGAAACATATGTATTTGCATAAATCAAAGATGCCATAGGTGTTACACAAAAGACCTGAAAATCAATGTAATTTAAAAAGCACTTTTGAGGTATCCTATTGAGAGAAAAATTTGTCCATCGTGTTCTAAACTGGAGTGTTGTGTTTGGTTTGGTGTTTTTTTCCCTGTTTCTGTGCAGAATTAGGTAGATATGTATGCACTTTGTAGCTGAAGTTCTGCTGGTAAATCAGAAATAAAGAAGGCAGATTTTATAAGGCTCCTTACAGCCACGACAAGAAACACAGGCCTCCAAATTCAGACCAAACCAGATTTGAATAATAAATACAAGTCAACATTGTAATAAAGCTGCAGGATTGTTTTTCTTGGTATTTTTTTCTTATTTAATTAAACAGGGAAAAAAAAAGCAGATGATAAACTCTATGACACTGAACACCTGCTTAAAGGAACTATGACACTGCTGGAGTAATCCACAGTTCAGCATGAATATGAATTTGCTTGAATTTCTAAAATTAAAACAATTTTCAGGTGCAGAAGAGATGTCCCAGGGAGAAGGATGTTTATTTGTGCAGTCTTTTCTGGTGTTTTTGATAGGTAATGCTTTTACATCTTTCCATCATTACTTATTTTCTATCACATCACTCCTATTATTGCTCTACTCCCTTATGTCTCTTTTTCCAAAACAAAATCCCTAACGCTTCAAAAACTCATGTCCTGATTATTGGAACTCCAGGGATTTCCAAGCAAGACACTATTTCAGGTGGAAGTTTGAAACTAGCCAGGATATGTCAAGTTCCCCAAAGCTGGTGTGCTTTCTGTGTGTCGTGGGGATCCTCTCTGCTCCAGTGGGAGTCTGACCCCGCTGGATTGGAACAGGGGAATGGAAGTCATTGGTCTCCCAGCCTCCCTGGCACTGGCATGAGGGAAGCTTGCAGGGTCAAACTGGACTTGCATATTCCCCATCCCCTTCAATTCACAGAACATTCTACTTTTTTTCTTATTTTCAGAGTAGCCGCTCTTATGAATGAGAAGTTTGGTGTGATTGAGAACTGCCCAGCAGCACAGCCACACTCTCTTCCTGTGACACAGAGCACACGAATGTAAGGTTTGGAGATCTTGTTTGTGACTTATCAAAAATGCACTTTTTAGTGTTATGGTAAGTCTAAAGCCTTAGTCTACCATCATATACATGAACTAAATATTTGAACTCAGAAATCCCATCTCCACTGTATTAGGAAATTAATCTTGTTAACGTCTATGATGTTGTGTTTCCTTGTATGACTAAATGTAAAAATGCTATCTGGCCCATTAGACCAGAATGTGGAGTTGAAAAGGAAAGAATGTCTGGGATAAAGGGAATTTCTGCAAGTCTCTACTCTCAGCACCTGGGTAGGAAGCAACAGAGCTGGAGGTGAGTGGAATGTGCATCACTTGAAAATCCGGTGTAGGGATCGGTGCCCCTTCTGTGATACTGGCAATTGCTATTAGACACTGGCAACAACATCACAGATGTACCCAAGCTGCACATTCAGACCTAAATAATACTGCCCATGTGGGGAAATTAAAAGAAAGAAGACTTTGCATTCAAGTATTTCAATTTTGTGCAAAAATTAAACACACTCTTACTTTTCTCAAAGAGGAATTATTTTAAAAGAGCTATTAAGCATTTGGATAAGCAGAGGACTTGATAGCTTAATGGTCAGAATGCAGCTCTCTGGCGACTGGCATGCTAGAATGAAGTCCTTTTTTGCTCTGCCTGAAGCTAGTGGGCTTAAGGGAGAACTGCCATCAGTACTAAATGTCCAAGAGGTGCCTCTCTGGCTCTGCTAAACATCTGGGATGCAGGGATGATGGAAGCACCTGTTGAAACAGTGAAGGAAACACGGGTCTAAGTGCATCCTGCTTTCCCATCCCCCTGTAATGCTCCTGAGAAATTTTATCTTATGCAGAGAGAACTCTCTGCCCTGCTCCATCAGCTGTTTCCTCCTCCCCCATCCCCATGAGAGCTCCATCCACTCAAAGAGCAAGTTTAACCCTGAATGACTTACCCAATCCCACAGTGAGACAAGGGCTGACGTGAAAATAAACCCACTGGACTTGAACACTTCCAGTTAAATACTTGCTCTTGCTATACGTGTTAGATCACAAGTCCTAACTAAGGCAACATTCTTTCCAGAGCTGCTGATTCAGGGTTGCATAAGTGACAGAAATATAGGAGGTATCAAAAATGTAGTTTATAAATTTTCCAATAAAAATATCCAGAACTGTTATTTTACACAGCATACAATATCACAAGTACCAGAGAAGCTTTATGATTCATTGCCATCTTCCACCAAATTTAATTTGAGATATTGATGGCATGGACAATTACTTCAAAGTCAATTCTCTAAACCATTCGTCTTTTTCTACAGTGCACTCACTGCTTGTCATTTTCTTTTGCCATTCTGATACCTCCAGCTTGCCTGATGGAAGCTGTCTGTGGTTTGTAATGCAAACCAAATGTTCCTTCTATGTTTCTTTTTTTTTTCCCCCAAGCTTTATTTTTCCAGCCTTAAATCTTAAAAGTTCAAACTCAGACTGTCTTCTGCAAACAAAATACATGATCTGAGCTGTAGGCATTTGGTTCAAATTTTTGGTTGGATATTAAACCAAGCATTTACAAGATACAAATAATTTGGTGTAGCTCCCAGATTGAATGTGAATGCTCTGCTGTTAACCAGACAGCAGGAAATACAGGACTTTACTAGCAAGAACAAGATGAGTTTTACATTACCAAGTGCTAGCAGCATCCTCTTTTAATCTAGATCTTGCATCCTAATTTAATCTAGATCTTGTATTCTTACTCAGATTCATTGCTGCGCAGTACTATTAGCACTGACTAGGGTTTCCCCACAGTAGGTAGAGCTAAAGATTTGGAAGTTTTCTAATAAAGAGGAAGAAACTCTCAGAGAGCAGAATTAAAAAATGATAATTAAAAACCCTAATGGTAAAATAAAAATTTAAAAGGAAGAACTTACAGCAGCGAGGCAGACAAACCTGACTCCTGCAGAAGGCTGTTCCTCTTCATAGGCCTGGCAAAAAAAGACAGAGTGAATAATTGAAAACACACTCTCCTGGTGCCACGTGACTCAGTTTCAGTAATTGTGCTCAGTACATTGGAACGGAGCTATTGTTTCCTAATTGAAGAAAATGTCAGCAGGGCTAGATAAACAAAAGCATTGGGATGTAGTATTGGGGAAGCTGTTTCCAGCAGGCTCCCAGCTACCTGGACATGGCAGAACCATTTAAGGAGTTTGTGTCATTTGTTTTCACCCATCACTCTCTGGTCTGAGGTTTGATGGGGTTCAGGCATGTTAAAGCCACCTGAGGGGAGCTGGGGCAACAGCAGAGTCTGTGCTAATCCAGTGAAGGTTTTCTGTTGGAGGCTGAGATGGCAAATATGCTTGTATTTTTCAGCTGATATTTTAACATTAAAAAAAACATTAAGCTAGTAAGAGTTTCATGGACAAATTCTGTTCCAGGAGCAAAACATAAGAGGTGTCACTTTTGAATGCCAGACCCCTGTATTGTTCACCACGAGCACAATCTCCTTAACTTACCAGTTCTTACTTTCCCCACTATGGGCTAGACTGCAACTTTGTGATCCAACCAGATCAAGGACTCAGAAAACTATTGCTTATCACACAGATCATGTCAGTCCCCACCTGTTGATCCTCAGTTGTGCTCAGACAGACAGGTAACAAAATTGCTGCAGAAACCTGCTTGCTCTCAATGAAATTATGTGATAAGATTCATAGGGTGTTTTTTAATTAAAAAAAAAAATCCCTAAAAGAAAACATTGTATCTGGAAGAGTTAATGTTAGTTTATTGAAATAGTCAGGCCTCTTCAGAGTGTTCTCGCAAACTATTAATCTCATGCTTTTAAGGAAAATGTAATAATTTTCCTCTCTGGTCATGGAAATGGTCAATATGACAGTGCTTACACACCTGCTGCCCTCAGTGTTCTGTCTTGAAGGTTCTGGTTTTATCGCTCTGTCGCTAACCTTGTAAAGGAGGGAGAGGAATTATAGAAATGGTTTAAAATATTGCACAGATAGGGGCTCATGTTTAGTGATCCTATTGCTTCTAGGTAAAACATGGACTGTAAAGACAAACATCTGTCCAATGAGAATTATTCCATACTGGGAGAAAAAGGAAAGATGAAATCTCTGCTCTGTACAGTGTTTCCAAGAGCTTGGAAAATGTTGTCCATGATAATACAATTGTGGGCATTCTGTATTTTAAACAGAGTTTATTGAGAGAATTTGACATTATTTTCCCAACATCTGTTATTGGGATATTCGTTCCCCAGATGAAATCTTCTCTAAAGGACAGAGGTTTTACCTGACTCAGTGGTTAATAAATGACATGGAGCATTACCCAACTCTTTCAGAAGAACCAAGTCTTGGCACTGAGTAGTGATCAACAATTATGAAGTAGCTTTCCTGGAAAGGAGGAGAAATAGGGAGCTGACTTTGAATTTTGTCAAAGAGTTTGTCACTGTATTTGAAGAGAAAGTACAGTGGCCTTGTACATAAAATGGGGTTTTATATGTAGTGCTAGTACTGTAAAAAAGAAATATCAACAAGGAAGCAAAGCCACAGACTGTTTACCACTTTACTGTCTTTCACTACAACACACACATGTTTTTGTTTAGCAATAGAGAACTCATTCACACAAAAATCTCAACAGTCCCTGAGTTCTGATCCAAGCTGATTGAGCTGGAAGCTCAAAAGCATTGGAAAGCTTGCTTTATTTCTTCCCATTGTCACATGCTTTTGCATTTCCTGACTATGGGCTGAATAATGTAGTCCCTAAGCCACTGGGAGTTTTGTTCATTCCAAGTCTGGACTTCTGCCAGGGCCAGCAGCAGAAACATAAATATCACAAGGAGGGGCTGTTTTTTCATGTAGCTTTACTCTAACCTTTTGCAGTTTTTTCCATCTTCTCTGTACAGAAGTTGTTCAGTGCCCAGTGGTGAACAGAAAAGCAGTTTTCTAGAAGCCATGAAGAAAAGGAGAAGGAGTACCTCTACTGTGCCTGCCCCTTGCATTAATGGTATGCTTTGATATTGGATACAGTGGTCAATCCTCATTACTTAGCTCAAAGGTATTGTAGCAGGAAAAGAGAAATGAACACTGATCAGAGGCTGAAAATTTGTATTCAAAGATTGAAATTATGTGAACTCTCCTATGCAGAAAGGACCTATAATGAAAAAAGTTTATGAGATAATAGGAAATATAAGGCAAATCAGTGTGGTTTCTTTATTTGCTTCTCATGTGAGGGACAGGAAAATAATGTGGTAAAATAAAGAGTTCAAACAAATAAAAAGAAATAATTAAAATTTAAGGCATAATGCATGTGCGGAACAAGAAGGGAGCAGAAATCATGAGCACTTTGAAGTTAGATGTTTTGTCTTTGATTTCAGTCAGACAGAGATTTCACCTCAGGAGGTGAATTGATGAAAATGTATTTCTGTAGATAAAGGGAATAGCTTGTAGAAAGGGCAGCAACTCCTGCTCTAGAATCAAAGTCAAACAATGCAGTTTACAGATAGAGTGACAGTCCAGCCATGGGATAGTTACCATAAAATGGAGTAACTCTTCTGATATCTGGAGTTAGTATCTATTGGCAGTGGGTAAAGCAAAGAGAAGAGCCACTGCACTTAATAGTTACGGCAATTCTTCTCTTTTTCATGACTAAAATCAAGATGTGTCTGGAACTATAGCAGATACAGGAGCTGAGCCTTCTTTTCTCCCAATTATTTTCCATATGCACAGGTTTGGATTCTAGAGGACAAATATGAAGACTATTCAGTACTAAATATTTTGCCTGTTGCTACTGGTGACAACCTTTTCCAAAAAGGAATGTATAAATTTAAACAGGACATTAGTACTGGGCAAAGCAGACTAAGTAACGATGGAACAGCCTCAGTCCTGATCTCCACCCAACCTCAAATACTGTTTGTGTTAATATGAAAGAAAGCCAATAGTTTAGAGTGTTCAAGTTTTTATCCCATCCTTACATTGTTCAACAAACTGATAATTTACTTTTGCCTTAAACACAGCCACAATTTTCACATTTGCCATGTTCCAGACTACAGTTATGCTGCACAGGACAATCCATGCCTTCATTGCTGCTAAGGCAGGCTGGATTAGTCATCTCTGTCTTGGGTTTCATGACTTTCACACTGCCCTTCCATCCATGAAAACACAGCTACATGGCATGCTGAGTCACCATATCAACCCAGCTAATCCAGTAGCCTTCTCCAGCAATAACTGACAGCAATTGTTTTAAAGGGATTAACTTAAAAAAAAATCAAGATAGAGTTTGCTTTCAGGAAGAGTTTCTGAGTACCTTGGTAGAGTAGACTGGCGCGATGAGATTTTGTATATGAAATGCTTGGACATATCATGATTATGATATGATATGATTGATATGATATGATATGATATGATATGATATGATATGATATGATATGATATGATATGATGATATGATATGATATGATGATATGATATGTCTTGTTTTAGCAGAAGTTACAGCTGCCTCATCTTGGATAAGTATTGCATAGTGTTAAATTAGGTAAATCTCTTTTTAATTCCTTTCATTACTTAGTACCTAACTCATGCCAGGAAACACAAAGATATTTTTTACCTTCTACACATGAAATTAATCCTGTGTAATAGAACTGTAATTTATCCCTTTCTGGCTCCCATTAAGCTTTTGATTTCAAGAGTATGCACAGGCAATTAGTTTCATGTGTTACATATAAATGTACTTCCTTGTAATTATTTGAAATTTGTTGCCTCTAAGATTTGTTCAGTTCTTCTGCTAGGAAAAATATTCTGATCTTCACATCTCTGTGGAATACTTTTCTCATTGATCTCTGTACTGATGTCATCCTCTATCTTCTGCATACTTTTATCTTTTTGTCTTCTGCCCCTCCTTTCAGCTTCACACTGCTTTCATATGTTTGGAATTCCTCCTTTTGCTTCAGATCCTTTTTGAAAAAATCACTTCCTTTTGTGAACTTTATTACCTGGCTATTTTATGATGGTATCCAGCTCTGCAACCTCCTAAACTATTTTCGAGTGAATTGCTTTCCTGTGAATTAATAAAAGTTCCTAGACCTTGCCTTGCCAGAAACATTTGTGTTTCATGACTTGCACTCCCACTCTGTGATTACTAACCTCTCTTGCTGCAGTGCCCTAGAGATGAGCAGTAAAATACTGCTTATATAGTTCCATGTAAGAGAGTCTAATTCTAAGTGTACACCCATAAAAAGTATCTTTACCTCCTTTTGAGAACATATCCTTGGACTTCATGAAGGATATGTTACTTTATGCATACAATGCTTTGTTTACAAAGCAGTCCATATGATTTACATAAGTGATTGTGTTAAGAGTGTGTGATTGAAAAAGTACAGCACTGAGTGTAAAGTTTGTTTGCTATAGCCATGGAGGGGTGCACGAGGCAAGAATGGTACCCTTTCAGCTAAGTGTTGTGTGCTGTATTTTTATTTTAATATTTTTATAGTGTGTGTATAGGCTATATGTGACATTATGCTGGGCTTTGAGAAACACTAAATATTTATGTCAGCTATGAAGTTACTAAATATCTGGTACTGAAAGAAAGGTCCATCCCTTTTTTTTTTTTAACCATTGACCAGTTTATAACTTAATGCAGCACCAGAGCAGTAAGAGCATTATGTGAGCTCTCCTGTATGGTGTCATTCAAGTTTAAACAAATATTTTAAAAAGTTATAACTTTACCTTCTTTCCACATAATGCTCCTTTTTCATCTGACTTAGTATTGCCTTTAATTTATAGTTCCCCTAAACTGTAGGGAGACATAAGGGCCCTTTAGGCTGAATGAAAGGAGAATTATCAATAGCCAAACTATGATTTATAAGGAAAGAAACATAAACAGCAGAAGAAAACTGAATTGACTCTACCTACAAAAATGATATGAAAATTTTCTCTGTATTTTTCATTAATTCAGTTAAAAGGTGTCTTTAGACCTGCCCTTTTCTTTAACCTGTTACTGTGAATCCATATTGGATTTTGTCATATTTGTTGCAGCTGCCTTCTTTATTCCTTGAACAGCCAGATGTGAATGAATGGAAGTACTGAAAAGGTGAATATACTTAGTCCACCTGAGAACCAGAGGCAGAATTTGCTCTGTATTTCACACTCTGGTCCAGGCACCACTTGCCCCAGCAGCCTGGCCTCAGGCTCACCAGAGTTGTGTCATCCCTTAGCATTTCACAGGTAACTTGCATGGGTAGCTGGGCTGGTGGGTTGGCTTGGGTTGTTTGTGAGGGCTTTTTGAGAGGGAGAAGGTATTGCAGGGTGTTTTGGGTCGTTGTTAGGGTTTGGTTTGGGCTTTGTTTGTTTCTTTGCTTTTTTTCAGTTATCTTTGTCAGTGATTGGTAGTGAATTACACAACCTCTTCTCGTGGATATTAGTGTCTGAATAAAATGACTTTACCACATTTGTAGAGTTGTCATTTTAAGCACAAGGTTTAAGCAGTAGCTATTTCTGAGTATTTGTCATTCCTGCAGCTTGGCAGAGGCAAAGCTACTTAACATGGGCTGCTTCTTAAGTCTGCATTAGAAAAGTCTTGAGGACCCTTCACATTTCTGCTGCTGTACCTTATCTCTAAGGCTACGACAATCAGAATGAAGCTGAGCAGACAGGTTTTGTTTGTGGTGTTGAAGATAACAGTATAAAATTCCAATGGCAGCTCTCTTGTTTTCTGGCAATTCTGTAGCTTTTAACACTGACTTTAGTTGAAGTGCACATCACATATGTCACTCACCAGCATTACAGGAAAAATCAGTTTATTTAACAGGTTTCCCATGGGGGAAACAGTATAATCTGTCACATAAATAGGTCCCTGGTAAGACACAAAACATAATGATTCTGGTGCTTCATGAGATCTGATGATACCTTGGTCGTAGGTGTGATAAATGGTGCTGGGGTCAGCTGCAGCATCCCAGCCAGTCTAGGATAGAGTATCTGTGGATATTACTTTTCTTTCACATTTTGAAATCAGCCTACACCTCCAGAGCAGAGCTTATCTAATGTTAAGCAGTTTAGAGCTAGTGGCTGAGAGATCTCAGCTGAGGATTCCTGATACTGGGCTTTGATTTTTCTACAGAATCAGTTCTCAAGCCCATAAATTGTTGTTCTAATTAACTAGTATGATTAAACTGTTGAAGAGAAAATGTTAACCTGTAATTATTGTACTGATGAAAATAATTCCTACTCCAGCTAAAGCTTATCTTTTAAAATAAGTACCAAATCTGAATGTAAAGACATTATTACACCAGTCTTGAAAACTTGCTATAACTTAGATTGTTATGCTGCTTAGTTACCATTTCTTTTAAACATCACTGTGTCCTCATTTGCCTTCATTCTGTGTTGGTCCAAAAGAGCTTGACTACTGCTGTTATGGCACAGTAAATACTTATGATCACTTCCCTAGAATTTTTTTTATTACCATCAGTAGGAGGACCATGGAGTGAGAGGTGTCGTGGAAGAGCAGCAATAAACTGGGTTATGGGACAGATGTTCTGCCTCTGGACCCGAGGCTGGCTTGTGAACTGACTCTGGAAAGGCTGCAGACACTCAGAGAGCTGGTGTGGAACAGCATGCTGAGCTCAGCACAGTGCCACCTCCTAGAGCAGGCTTGGTGCACCTGGCCACTGAATGACCCCGACCCTGCAGCAGAGATGGGCTCAGGAAACTCACATTTTCCAGTGTCCTTCTCTTCTGTATGCTCAGTTTTGAGCCAGAGAATACCTAATACTGATTTCCATAAGAACTGATGCTATATTCTTTGTCTTAGTTGGATTTCCCAAAAGAAGCAGCCTCTTCTGGGATTTAGCTCCCAAGTAATTGTCCAAAATCATGTTCCAAGACAAAAATATGACCACAAATATTACCCAAGATTTTCTTTCTCTGTTCTTTCTTTTTTATTTCAACACCTTTTAAAGTAATTATAAATGTTGAATCTTTGAAGACTGGACTCAAATAAACACTCAAAAATACCCAGATCTTTGGGGTTGCATAAACTGAGGAACTTTTCTCTTATTTCTGTCATAAGGAAAGGACCCGGAACAAATAAAATTGGTATCTGAAAAATGCTAAGATTTTGACAATATCAGTTTAGGCTCAGCATTAATCTTGGGCAAAGAAGTAAGCTACCCATAACTGACTCTTACCAGACACATCTAATGTACTATAAAGCAGTAAAAATCTGCCCCAGCTCATTTTTGACTGAACAGTCTAACTGAGTCTGGAGATCTTCTAGCTCTGATGGTGACCTGCTAGTTTGATCCAAGGCTTGCTTTCCTCACTTCTGAATCCAAAGGAAGAGCGTTATGGCCTTGTGGTCACCTTCTTTTCCTGGGCATGTGGGGTGAGAATTTCTCTGATGAAAAGTACTGAAAGATAATTAAATGCTTGTTGTTTGTTTGTTTTTGTAATGGGACAATGGACAAAATAATTCACAACTACTCTTAAAAACAACAAGAATTTGCTGCTGTCAAGTAATGATATCCTTGCAACCCATCTCCTATTAAGCAGAATCTATTGCATGCAAGGCTTATCCTTATGGTAAGTCATACAAACCATCTCACAGGGTGCAGTATGTGCCCCGCTGTAGTACAGAGAGCAGAAATATAACAGCAGGAGGCAAATAAAGCAGCAGATCACAGCCCTGGTGCCCTCTAAGAGCAAGGAGCTGTGAAAGCAGCAGAGGCCCCACCTGTCAGGTCAGTCCTTCAGCACAAATCGAGGCAATCTGACAGCCCCACAGCTTTATGTCATCTGTTCCCAGGCTGCTACAGCGGGGGAAGAGGGCAGGGCTTTGTCCCCACCTCCACCCTGGAGCAATCCCCCTGCAGAGGAGCAGCAGGGGCTGCCTCAAAGCCCCTGCAGTGTCCCAGGGCTCTGCTGGCCAGCAGCTGAGTGCCCAAATCTGGGCACATCCCCCCATCTGCCCAAATCTATCCAGCTCCAGCAGCCAGGCTGCAGGGACAGCACAGCACCAATGCCCTGTGCTGCACCCACCTGAGCTCTTGCTGTGGGTTCCTACTGCTTGAAGCAGTCACTAATGAGGCACAAAATAACGGGTTCTATTAAGTGAACACGGCATTAATAATGCTGGCAAGGTTTCAAGTCTACAGATGTTATTTATAATACATGACTAAACAAATACGTATCCCCTTTGAGACTCAGACTCAGGAGCAATTTACTGATTTCCTGTATAGGCTAGTTCATACAGAGATTTGAGTAAATACTGCATTTGAATGTCTAAGTTCTGAAACTGTAATAGACAATCATATTAATGTTTAATTTTAAAATTGTTTGAAAATTTATTTTTAGAGTATTGGTCCTGGCCCTATCTAGTTCTCATGGAGGAATATATTTTCTGTATTTTTTCTGTAAAGAAAAAGAAAATATTCAAAGAAAATAGCCTTCAGTTACACAGCACAGTGGAAATGAGTAGAAAGGTTGGATAAAATTCTGTGAAAAAATGCACTTAGCAGAATCTAAAAAAAAATAATTAAAACCCCATATCCTCTCCTTTCCATCTGGTTTTGAAATTAATTAATCTTATTTATGAAATTTAATTGCCAATGAAATATTTTGTAGTTTTAAAGATGTTTCTGAGTAATGAATAATTTGATCTTGATACGATTTAGTTTCTTTTGTCTCTACCTCCTATAATATTACAGGTATACACAGGGGCCTTCAAAACTGTGAACTCACAAAGGTCTCTGGTCTCTACAGGCTTTTACATACATCAAGAGAAAGAGGAGAAATATTTTACAGCAAATCAGAAGTGTCCTAAATTAAGGTATTCCAAGAAGAGAATCTTTGTTCAATTCATATTGCTGATCATTGAACAATAATAATTTGCTTCAAATTTCTCAGACACATTAAAAACAAAGAAGTGATAACAGTGAATAGACAGACAAAAATGTAATTTGTGACATACCTCTTATCTGCTTATTCTTCTCTTTCAAATTCTGAAATTAAAGCAGTTGAAAATAATACATACTGGCATGTAAAAAGAGCTGACTACATGATGTCTAAACAATTTGCTATAAAAATAGCACTTACCATTGACATTGCCAAGTATCTTCTTATTTAAATCTGCTATTATCATGCCTTCTTGGATATGAAATACGCAGCACAGTCCATTCCCAGTGTGTTAAATACTTGAGAAAATAATAAATGCAGTGTAACTCCACAGTGTTTGGATATTTGACTGTAACTCCTAAGCATTCAAAGTGACTACTCAATATAACAACTTTTCCTCTGCAGAAAATGCCTTGCTATTTGCCAGCAAATCTTTAATGCTTTAGATTGGGTATTTCCAACTACCGCCCTACTTGCTAGGCAGATGTGTATAAAAGAGATGTTATTTCACTGAATCAACCACTGAGATCGTAACCCTTTTCCTGTACCACAAACAGAAATATAAAACCTCAGACTTTCCTTTTGGACTTTTACTGACTTGTGTCTGTTGTAAGAAAGCAAAACACAACTAATCCGAGCGCTAGTATATGGAAAATGTGTTAAAACGTTTTAGATCATCTCACTGCTTCTCATTCCTGCAATTCATTGGTTAACTGGCTCCTTCTGTGTTTATGTAGTTGCATGGTACAAATACAACACCTAAACTTCTTGCCCAAAGTTGAAATGATTCATTTATTACTTTTTACACCACCCCCAGGAAAAAAAAAATAAGGAAGAAAGAAAACACACAGTGCTCATTTAACCCAAGTGAGTGAAAACGTCTTTCATAAGGTCTGTAAGGGCTTTGGGAGGTTTTTTCTTTGGTGAATAAAGTCTGTGTAGTGGAGGGAAGAGTTTTGTCTGAGGATGGTAGAATTTAGGCTACAGCAAACGGACAAACTAGAATCCTTTTGCTGTGAGAAAATAAGATAATAGTAAAGGAGGTGCAAATGTTACTTATTCATGAGATCAGTTGAGATGGAGTCGTTTTGAGTGGAGGCAGGACTGAGAGAGGAGGTATTTTTGTGAGGGTAGTGAGTGCCTTGCTCTCTGGAATTGTATCAATATTTATTTAGGTCCTTTAGTGAGGTAATTACCCTAAATAGATAATACATAGGTCCTCCATCTTCTGGGTGCCTTTAAATATTAGTTAACCACATTAATTATAACCACACCGGGGAAAGCACAAGCAGAACAATAAATGA